TCGTCTGTTTCCTTTTGCCTCATCTCGGTGGCATGTAACTGTTGTGTACACATGCCAGAATAAAGTATTATTATTATTATTATTATTATTATTATTATTATTATTATTATTATTATTATTATTATTGTCTCTTCTGATGATAATTCTCTGTACATTGGTCCCATTTTGGCTCATCCACCCCTCCGAAAGTTCAGTTTCGGTCAGGTCAAGTAAGTCTGCGTCAAATACTACTCCGCGAGTTGTGTTTATTGATCTGTGTGGTGTTAAGATGATCGGTACGTCACCGAAAGCTGAGAGGCGGTCTAGCTTTTAAAATTGTTCTCTGTCCTGAATTTCGAGGAGGAGGTCTCTGCTAGCCATTTCAGTTACCTAGTATCCAGCCCTGAGAGTTTCGGTAAAACACCTTGCAGCTACGAAAGGAGATATGGTCCTGGCTTGCTTTCCGGTTTTCTCACAGTGAATGACGTGAAAGTGAGGAAATGTTTCTATCGGCTGGTTGAAAAAAATTTATGTCAACGGTGCATACCCGCTTCAAGCCGGTACGATCGGTAAGTAGGGGGAATGCTCTGTGCCTGCCGGTCTTATTTTTATTCAGCAACATTGGCGGCCATCCACCACGGAGCCCAGCAAGGGGATGCTGCAAGATTGCGAATGCTGAAAGCTTGCAGACGTCAACTGTACAACAATGCCATAACCCGATGCGGGTAGACTGAGATAGGTTATTGCACAGGGTTAACCCTCGCCGCCAGGAAAATTGGAAGTAAAAGGAAGAAACAAGACGACAGGAAAGATAAAAAGTGGTGGAAAAGACGATGGTGTAGAGAGAGAGAAAGGGATAGGAAAAGGCGACTGCCGATTTCCCCTGGGTGGGTCTGTCCAGGGGTGCCGTCTACGTGAAGGTGGGGCCAAAGGGGTGTGTTGTCTCTGCCGGGGGGCCTTAAAAGTCCAATCACATAATATCAGTTCAATCCCCCGAATCCATTTTCTCCGGACACGGATGAGCCACGCACGGCTAGGCACTGGAGAGGTCAAAGCCCCCAATTAGCTCGGATCCGTGGTGCCGCTACACACCAAACCCCTGCTTGCGCAGAGGCCCCTACGGGGTGGGGCAAAGTTGGAGGTGTGTATATTATGCGGGGAAAATTTTAAGAACACTTTTTCTGTATGAACAAAAAATGCAGTATTGCAAAAAAAAGTTAAGCCACTCAGCTTTTTTGTTGCACTTCACTCATCTTTGGTGGCTGAAAGCGCTATCTTCTTTCTGCAAGCTGTTCCTGCGCAGCCCGTGCATGCCATGAAAGCATTTCACAGCTATCTTTTCTTGCAATCATTCTACCGTAACAGTAGTATCGTATCTGCTATGATCTCAAGAGGCGCCCAAAAGCGTGCGCTACAACCCACGACGCACTTGGCCAACTTCATGGCTACCTCCCAGCCAACTTGATGGCTACCTCCCACAACGACTGCGACACGGCCATTGACATTATAGCAAGCAACTAATATTGCAGCAAGCTACCACTGAAGCATCAAAACAAACCGTCGATAACAAGAATAACAACAAAACACGGCGACCACCTCGCTTGCAGCCGAAGCAAGAATCGGGGACCATGCCGCGGAAATAGTCACAATCTTTTCTGGGCGACAAGTGATTCTTTTCTGGTTTTCCAGAAACCTGCGTCGCGATGGCCACGAATGGACCTTCACCACAGCCATAGCGACACCAAATCATGTCATCATCGCTCGAAAATTGCGTACATGTGATTGGGCCTTAAAGTTTCATACGTGTATTTGCAGGAAGGGATCGTCAGTTGGTGCAGAAAGTTTTGTGATTTTCGCTCGCTGTGTGCTTGTCAGCTGCGATGTCTCTGCACTCGCACCGCTTGTGAACCCCACTGTGGCGTATAGGTATTTAAGAAATACTGGGTACGTGCCACACACTGATAGAACGAAATACTATAAGGCACATAGCAGCAGGCGAAGGGGGGATAGGGAGGGAGCCGAGGTGGCCGAGGTGGGTCGGCATAATAACAAAAGACGGAAGAGATCCAATGGGCAAGGGGGCACCAGGTGGCAGTTAGCAGGACTGCAGCAGATGAATGTAGGGGGGGCATTATTATGCGGGGAAAAGGAAATTCCAAATTTTGACAACTGAAGTTGAAGGTACGTTTATTATGTGAGTGTGTTCATTACGCCAGTAAGTAGGGTGTAATTCCATAATTCCAAAAAATCGGCCTGAAGTCCACTCCAATCTTACAACAATCTTGTCTCTTTTTAAGGTTTCAGCTAATTGCCTTCTAAAATTAATGAGAGTTATCTAACAGTGGCAGTATAGAACTAACCACAGCTACCGATTATGAACTGCAATGAAAGAACAAAAAATTGCTAGCACTATAGTTTCAAGGCAAGCAACATAATAATTAATAACATTAATAACAAATACACCAGGCTTCTTAGAATGGTCAGACCAATGATCCCCATTGATTAATAAAACTGCATTACAGTTACTGCCGAATACGAAGTTAGGGAGGAAACACGAAACGAAGTGGACAGTAGAAACGCAATAATTTCCACTTTGTTCCCCATTAAATGCGCCATGAATAGATTACACAACTTTGCAGGAACCATGCAACTTCGTTGCATAATGCGGGCATCATATATTTGAAAAACTAAAAATACAGGCAATGAAACACTGCCTTACCCAAAAAAACGGGCTGCCTGAATGAGCTTAAGGCACATTCATGTGCTTCTCTAGAGAAGGTAGATTAAAGCATTTTTGAAAATGGCAGCTAATGGCAGTATTAGTTAGTTGAAGGGGGTGTGAAGAAAATTTAATTCTCAAATTAAAAAAAATCGCATCCAAGGTGCATCTTTCTCCCTATAAGTAGAGTCCAAATTTTGCCTGCACACGCAAACAAAACTGAAAACGCGTTGGAAACAGCCTTCCGTCAGAACAGTCAGACACAATGTCTTCACCATCACAAAATGATGACAGAGCACCGCAACACAACTTTGCATAAGGTGCCTTCATGCACGACTGAGCTGTGCGAGATTAATTTATTGCCTTGTGAAGTGCAACTTCAGCTGTTGTGAACGTTCACATCAAGCGAAAGTTATTTTTCATGGTGAGAATGGCTGCGCCGTGGCTAATTGCGTGCTCAAGGCCTGTGACTGCGAGTGCTGCAAACAAAGGTCAAAAATCAGCTACACGTATTGCTGACTAGGTAAAGTTTCCACAGACCTAAAATATGAAAATATCCGGAGCCCAAAGATGAGCTTTCTGGCAACCTACTCTGTGTGCATAGAGCTTGTCTAGGTAACGACCCTGAATACGCACAAGATTCAGGTGTATACAGGTGCGCATGAACTACAAGGAGGTCAAATTTTCCATTCTAATACATACTGTCGCACACTCTCTACTTTTCTAATCATCAAGTGAAGGGAGCTTAATGCTCAGCATTCGGTTAAAGTAAAGGCGATTTCTTGATTGATTTGATTGATATGTGGGGTTTAACATCCCAAAACCACCATTTGATTATGAGAGACGCCGTAGTGGAGGGCTCCGGAAATTTTGACCACCTGGGGTTCTTTAACGTGCACCCAAATCTGAGTACACAGGCCTACAACATTTCCGCCTCCATCGGAAATGCAGCCGCCACAGCCGGGATTCAAACCCGCGACCTTCGGGTCAGCAGCCGAGTACCTTAGCCACTAGACCACCGTGGTGGGGCGAAAGGCGATTTCTTGCTCACGGATGGTGTCGGAAAGCTGCCCCATGATGGTGGGACGACGTGAAATTACATCGTACAACCAAGGTTTTTGAAATTTTTATATATTAATTCTCTGAAAATTTTGCTGGGACCAAATTTATTCGTCATATACTGCACGTTATTGTGAAACCGGGGGTCGTATAATTAAAGTTTCACTGTACTACATGACTCGCAGAATACATATCATCAATGAATATGACGATAGAACAATGCCTTGCTGGTGCTATCAAATATGATGCTGAACGTGGTTTCTTTGGTGACATCACATGTCATCAGGTAAAATTGAGTGTAACTGATTTCTTGAAATATGGATTTGAATAAACAAAACATCGCATCTGCAAGCGCCACTAAAGTACAGCAGTTTAACATGGTGAAACATTATAAAAAGAAAATACCACTAAGCAGTAAAACCTACCACCTGGAGCCAATGTTTTTTGCATGAAATTAGCAGCATATCCAACCCTCTGTTACCCCTTTATATTCAACATATCTCCTTCAGGCACAAATTATGATCCACAGTTTGCAAATGCATGAAATTCACGTGGGATAGTTGCGAGGCACTGAGAATTACGTTCTAAGAAAGAAAATAAAGTGATGAGCTGTTTCTTGTGAGCTTTGGCAATTTACATTAATTAGCATATAATTGCCTAATTGCTCTGCATTCAGTGAGCTTGAATCTTTGCACAAGAAAAATCAAATATTAGGCCTTAATATTAGGCCTCAATTACACAGTTTATTTTTCAGTTGTATTTGTTTCAAGCAAAGAAAAACAATTCTCTTCACATTGGTCATGGAATGCAGCTAACCGAACAATTGTCGAACACGATAGTGTCTCTAGCAAAGTTATACTCTGCAATAGCATGCAGCACAATGGTGTTATATGAGTGCTGGCTGTCCAATCAGGAAGCCTGCCCGAATGTGCACGCTGCTTTTCAAGCGAGTTGAAGGAAGAGAATCGACAGTTGGTCTAGTTGGATATGCATAGTATAAATGTAGTTTAAATGAACGAAAAAGCGCTTCAACTGTGTTTCTTTGTGTTTTTTCGTGCCCTTAAACTACAGTTATACCGATTCCAAGAAACATGAGGTGCATGATGCACCGCTGAATGGGATATTTTATAGCATACTTCTTCTGTGTGGCAATTTGTGTCCTTCAGTGTGTTATAATGTTCGTTTAGAAGGTATGCACGCTGTTTTCAAATGTCTCATCAACTGCATGCAGGGCCTCTCTCACCTTGCAGCCTTCATCCATTCATCGTACAGGTCAAAGGTCATCAATGGTTCGGGAAGCTCTCGCAGGTACAGTTTCAGCACACCTGGGATGAGACATGAGGAGCATTTTGTGTGCACGTTCAAAAACAGTCGTGCTGCATGTAGGTGAAAAGATATACAACGCACGCTAAGCATTCAGTTTCACACCTAAGGATATCTTTACTCTTCATAAACTTTAACAATGTTGACGTAAAAGCATGCACCATGCTTGAGCACGAATTAGCAAAGATTAAACTTGACAAGTTGTCGTGCCCTCGTGCATGCATCAGTAAACAGTCCTTCTGTCCCCTACGGCTTTTTTCCAGGAAGACTGGAAGCAATCTTTTTTTTTTGCTTCTCTGTTGCTTCTATATTTATCCTGCCCAAAATCTTTCAGCAACTCATGATTTTGCAGCACCTCTCTGTGATTGGCCCATCTTTAGCCAAGCGACAATGTCATGCAATGACATCATACTGTGTAATTTATGTGACATCACAGCGACCACAGCAATGTTACAATGATATCACAAATTATGGAGACCTATGACATCATGTTGACAGCACAGGGTGCTGTCATCACATGGTGATCTTTTCCATTGCTTATGTCACTCGTCATGATGCCACCAACAGTGATAATCCCTTCTTGAGCTCAATGAGGCCCATCTAATGCATCTTAACATAATTAATACACACAAAGCACAACACTATGCTGAATGCTGGTGCACGATGTTGCGAATGATAGCAAAAGCAAGTCTATGAAGTTTCTCTTAAATACAGCTTATAACGAACTCGAAAGCGCCGCAACAAGTGGTCATCATATCAGTAGTTCATTGTATACCGTATTTTTGTGTGTATAACCCGCCCCTGCATATAATCCGCACCCCCACTTTTCAGCTCAACTAGAAAGAAAAAAAAAATCCTCGCGTATTGCCCGCACATTTGATATACAGGAAAGGCTGTACAAAAGCTACTGCTCAAGCAACATAGCACATATGTAGACAGAAAAAGCTTTATTTAGCAAGAAGAATACGCTGTCTGCAAGGCCAGTCACAATTCACTCACTGTCGCTGCTCTCGCTAGAGCTATCACTTGAGCCGCAGTCCTCACTATTACGCACAAGGTCATCTTCTGTTCCATCCATGTTGTTTGTGATGCAGCATTTCTTGAAACTTTTTCGCACCATCTCACCTGGAATAGCCTTCCATGCCTCGACAATCCACTTGCAGAATAGGGCAATATCAGGCCTTCGGACTCGTCCTGTCGGCGTCAAGTCGTAGCAGCCTTCGGCCATCCACTCGGCGTAATAGCGCTTGACATGCGCTTTGAAGGGCTTGTTAAGGTACACATCTAGAGGCTGCAACATTGACGTCATTCCACCGGGTATAACAACTAAGTCGGTGCCGTTGCGTGAAAGGCGGTCCTTCACTTCCTAAGTTGTGTGGCCGCGGAACGAGTCAAGAACGAGCATGGACCTCTTTGCGAGCATCGCACCAGGCCTCTTCTCCCATACCGTCTTGATCCAGTCTACGAACAAGTCACTGTTCATCCACGCGTTCTCGTGTGCGCGCACCACCACACCGGCAGGCAAATGAACCTTCGGTAGAGCTTTCCTTTTCAAGATGACGTACGGTCGTAGTTGCGGGCCGTCAGCGAGGGCACAAAGGAAGACTGTGATGTGCAGTTTCGTGTTCCCGCCGGTCAGCACGCTCGCCGAACTGCTGCCCGTCTTCTCAACCGTTGTTTCCAACGGCATTTAAAAATAAACAGGAGTTTCATCCGCATTGCCGATTTGCGAGAAAATGTAATTGTGCTGCTTTTGCAGGCCAATTACATATCTCTGGTACTTGAGCAGCTTCTCCTCATAAGAAGCCGGCAAGCATTGACATATTGTAGTCCGCCGTCTGATTGAGAGCCCTTGCCGCTTCATAAAGCGGTGCAGCCATCCGCGGCTCGCACCGAACTTGTGAGGTAGGCCTAGCTTCCTCGAAAGTTGCCGCGCTTCCACTTGGGCCATCTCGGTCGATACGGCGTGACCCCTGCTTCTCACATCTTCGATGAACTTTACTAGCTCCGCCTCCAGCTCAGGGTCTTGGGGCCACGAAATGACCTATGGTCACGATGCGTGGCTTGTAGGCTCTCTTTCTTCTTTCTCCACAGTCGCACGCAGGACTCGTCCACATCGTGCCATTTTCCCGCTTCGGGATTTCCAAATTCCTCGGCAACGGCGATGATCTTAAGCTTTTGCTGTGCCGTGAAGGCCTGCCGCTGTACGCTACTCATGGTGACAGAACAGATCGACCTAGGCTTGGCGAACGGGTCGAGATGTGGAGAACTAGCGGTATCAGCGAGGTAAAGAGCGCTCACACTCGCCGACAACTTGACAGCACTACCCCTTCTAGTACACTGTAACAGCACCCTGGAAACAACAGAACCGAAATGCATGCCTGCTACCGCGTCAAAAAGTAGTACATTAATTTTCTGATAATATCTCTATAGGCACTATAACACCTCATTTGCCTTGCTGAAAGAAATACTGCTTTACTTATTATGGAACTTACTTTATTTATTGTGGAACTTTCTTAGACAGCACCACCTTTTCGGCAAGCCCTTTCCAAAAGTAAACATGGCGTCCGTGACGTAAAGACATGTGGAGGGTCACTGAGCGGCCGCGAACGTCCAAAAAATATACTTGTGGTGTGACAGTGAGATTTTACACTGAACAATTGAATTGCCTTTCCCCAAAGGTTTTTCTAAACGCTTCAATGATGCAAGCAAGCGAAACCAAAATCGGCCGCAAGCTGCCGTGCTACTTGCGAAGCAACACGAATTTGCGGAAACCGCCTCCGTAGCCTTCGTTACACTGTCAAGGGGCTTCACAGCACAACACACATTGCTGTGAAGCAGCACTATAGAAAAAACCCCGCGTATTATCCTCACCTCCACTTTGCCACTGAAACTTTTGGGTTTTTGGTGCGGGTTATATGCGTGAAAATACGGTATGGACTCGCCCTCAAAAACATGCACATAGCTACGAAACCACATTTTCTTTTTGGTGTATTTTCTAAGTGCTAACAACAACTCTGGTGAAAGCCAGGCTTTTCCACGTGTTAAGTGATGCCCAGTGTGAGCTCCAAGTGAACTAAACCACGTTCGTAATGAACTTGCACCATTCCACAATGATGCAGTACCACCAGGTGCAAAAAATCATCTCTGCCTAGTTGTGTGCAGCACACTGCTTTTTTGGCTCTCATTGCCGCATGCAGCCTGATGTGTGCATGCATTTGTGCGTTCTTCACGCATGTTTCACTCCGAATTGTGCTCAGGTGTGGTGAGTAGCCTGTTCATTCAACACAACAAAGACATGCATTTTGCAAGCGATGCATGGCAGCAGCGAACTTGCTAACGGCAGCATGATGCACTTGTACCACAATGCTTGTATTACCATGCAACTTGTACTTGTGTAACTAGGCTTGTGCGAATAGTGAATTTCGGGCTCGAAGCGAATAGTGATTTTGGATGAATAATTTCAAATCGAATTCGAATAGTATGTATGACATATAATGAAAAATGGGCATATTTATCATGACCTAACTGCACAATATTTTTAAAAATTGAAATAGGGCCTCTTTGCAAATGCCATTTCTTTTTTCGTTCAAGGGAAGTCGAAACAACTTTGAGTAAGAGCAGAATTTGGCTTTCAGCAGGCTGCGAGTCATAACCCTTAAAATGCGTAACATTTTAAAATTTATTATACTTAGAGCATATAAGCCATCATAACAAGCTTTTAAGCTTAATAAAATGAATTGATTTGAAGGTAATATTTTTATTTAAAAGGGCCCTCCAACTTTCAAGTAGCCACAAAATGTATTCACTAAAAAGCTTATTGCCTCATGAATTCACCGCCTCAAAAAATTTTAGAGTCCACCCAGTACACGCGAAGTTGCAAGGATTTCTCGAATGCTGCAAGTGCATTGTCTCTTCTCGTCCCGACAAAAGCGGTGGCGCGCTAAGCGGGGAGGAATGGCATGCAGAAAGAAAATACGTCATGCATGCTTTCTGAGCTTGTGGAATCATTTGCTGAGAGAAGAGAGCAATCTTCAGCTGACTTTGAGAATTTATTGTGAATCGCACGCCGCGTGCTGCGATTGACTTGCGCGTCCTCGGTAGCCTTGACTACCGATCAGCAGCGTTTTCTGACAATGCTAAAAAGTGTCCCAGGGCCCCTTTAAACTTGTAGAGGGGCTTTGCGGCAGAGCACACTTCTCCTGGATAGATTCTTTTATAATTCAGCATCACTACTCTACAGGCAAACCACCTTTACAAGCAGTAATTTCGAATTATGCATTTTTTCATTCTTTGCGAATACTTCGAAATTTTCAATAATTTAAATTCGAGTCAAAGCGAATTCGAATACGCTGCAATTCATTCAAATATTCGAAGCATTCGAATATTCGCACAAGCGTACTTGTAACACGTGATGTTGAGCAGGTATCTGCAGACGACCGTGATAAGGTTGTCAGCGATGAGTAAAAATGACACACCATCGGCCACCTCACCTTTGCGCTTTTCTGATGCCTATGCATTAATGCACGCTGCAACCATCAGGAAGTCATTATTATTGATTTACCAGTATCACCCTTTACAGAAGCGCGGCAGACTTTTTGTGTCACATTGTGGCATTGGCCAGTTGAGCGTCGCAGGGAACTCTTCAACAAAAAGCTATTGCTTTTTGCATTTGGAGACGTTGTTTGGTTAATCGTTAGCAGTCATAGATGATGATGATGGTGTCAGAAAATTTTGCTGTGTGAAAGCAGACTGCAAGTCTTCATTCTGCCTCCTATTCATTTTTTTCATCTGCCGTTCTGACAGCGAAGAAATGCCTGGAAAGTGAGTGACATCGCTCGCAGCGTCAGAAATCGGTGGGCGGTGCTTGCCACAATCTACAATATCTTTGTTGCAAGTAAACTGCAGCGAAGTACATGTGAGCGTGAGTGCGTATGCTTCAGAATGCCTGCTCTTTAAAATTTTTTTTTTCACTTCGCATGCACCATATTTTCCCTGCAAC